GGAGTCCCATGCCTCAGGGCCCGAGTTCACCCCAGGTCCCGCGTCTCTTCCCACCATCCCAGCCCCAAGTCCTGGACAACAGTGTCCCGTCCCTGTTCTGACACGGGGTCCCACATCCCAGGTCCTCTCCTGGGCCCCTGTCGTACCTGTCACCTGCAAATCCAGCATCTTATCCTGGTAATTATGGTTCATGTATCCTTTCTCCACTCGGAAGTAGTAGTTTCCTGTGTCACTCCTCCTGGCGTGTCTGATGCCCAGAGAACAGTCGTTGGTCATGGGGTTCCCAAGGAGGCGGAATCGGCCCTGGGTCTCCACAGATACTACTCTGTTTGGGTTGTTCGTGGCCACAAGATTGTCGCGGCGTGCATCGTACCAGTACACGTAGAGTTCGGCAGGGGGATGCCACACACAAGGAGCAGGGCACGACGACGCACAGACCCTCCTGCACTCTCACTGACTTCTGCACTCGGAGCTCGAACCCAGAATTGTCCTGAAGGGACCCTGTGGGGACACAGAGGCACAGCTGCAGCTCCGGCCCCTCCCCCGCCCGTGCCCGGGCCTCCCCCTCGCCCCACTCACCTCCCCACAGCAGGGGCAGCAGCAGCAGGGGCACCATGTCTGCGTCTGACAGGGCAGAGCCTGAGTCCAGGTCCCTGTGTCAAGGAAGGAAACGTGCAGAGTGTGTGCTGGGGCCGAGGACTCCCCGACAGGAAGCAAAGGCTGAGAGAGCTGTGGCCACGCCTGGAAGGGGAACTTGGGCTTCACAGCCATGGGAGTGATTTGGGAAATAAAACACATCATTTTGCAAATGCGTACCCCGAACTAGTGAGATAGCAAAAGGCTTGTCTAGGACCATAAGGCTCCTTTGCTGCAGCCCTTTCGTCTATACCAAGTCTACACGGGGAAGGGAACACCACCTGGCCAGCTCCCTGGGGATCAGAGCCTCTAGGCCCTCAGAGAGGCCAAAACCAAATCCATTATCACATCATGGGGGCCGCGCTGAGAGGAGTCCAGCGGCGTGTCCAGGTGGCAGAAGTCCGCCCCTCTGTCTGGAGAGAAGTTAGGCTCTCAGGGACAAACACATCAGGTGCCTTGTGATCCCCAGCAGTGATGCTGGAGTCTCCTGACCTTTTGCAGTCGGATCCCAATTCTCATCTCTCATCCCAGGTGGCCTCAGACTCTGGCCCTGGCACTGATGCCCAGAAGAGGCCTGAGAGCCGGCCGTTTGGAGTGTGGAAGTTGAGGGCATGGAGTGACCAGATTGGAAGCCAGGCACCTACCTACCAGCACCTCACCTATCACCTGTTCCACTTTACCAAAGCTATTTAGCCTCTCTGTGCCTCAGTTTGCTCATCTAAAAAATAGGGACCCTACTAGAAATGTTGCATGAGGATTGAAGGAGTTCATAAGCGTCAAAAGCGCAGGGGACAGTGCCTGGTACTGAGTAATCGCTCATTCAACTAATACTTCATGAACACCTGCTATGTGCCAGGCTTTGCTTTAGGGGCTGGAGATGTAGCAAAGGGCAAGTTCTTGGGGTGGAAAAAGTGAGTGAAAAACTCTAATTGGAGAGGTAGAAAAAATGGCGTAGGTGAGAGAGGCTTTGTTCGTCTCTCTTGGGACCACATCAAAGTTGTGACAGAAACACAGAGCAAATAGCAAGGAAAGTTGCCTAGGATTTAGATGGACAGAAGCCCTACAACCACAGAGAGAAATAAGAAACAGCCTGTTGACGCCTCTTAAAGGGGCCGCGACCGCGAGCAGACTTGAGTGGTGATGGACTGCTTGCTCTGAGCACCAGCACCAGGTTGGCTGCTGGTCGGTGGGGAGGGCATCAGAGACTTACAGGGGGACACTGAATTGTCAGACCTAGGGCCAGAGGTGAGGCTCTCTCCCTGGAAGAAGTGCTGGCGATATCCATCGTTCCCTCCCCGCTCCCAGTGCGCAGACGCAGCATTGCCTTAGCTGAGACATCATCAAACTGGGTAACAGAGGTCGCTCCACCCAGAGAATTCCCTGAATCCCCAACTCCCCCAACTCCCCCAACTCGCGGCTCCACCCAAGCCACATATAGGTATATCCTCGGTGAGTCAGGTGCTCCTTGCTGAGCAGCACCTAGACTCACACCGGAGGCAGCTGGCCTCGGTATCTGGTGTGGCCTTTTGAGGCAACTATAAGCACAGCATCTGTGGACTGCTTGCTGAATCTTACCAGGTGGTCCCGGAGGGACTCAGGCTGGAGCTAAACTTGAACCCCTCTCAGGACTGTGCCACTGGACACCTACTACACATAGCTGTGTTATAAAGATGCTCGGTGGGTCCCTCTCACTCTCTGCCTCTGAGAGGAGACCGCACTCTGTCTGTGGAGTGTTACCCCTTTTCTAATAAACTTTCTTTCTGACTCTTAAAAAAAAAAGAAGGAAGATGCTCAGTGAACTTAGTGGAAGTATAGACGAATTCAGTGAGAACTTTAACAAAGAGATTTAAAAAAACATAAAAATGGAAATGGAAGTTATCGAAGGGAACCGGTCAGAAATGAAGAACACATCTGAGACGAAGAGTATAATAGATGGAATCAACAGAGTGAATAAAAAAGAGGACTGAACCACTGAAGATGAGGAAGCCAAGGACACTCAATCAGAACGGCAAGAAAAAAGAAGTTAAGGCTATAATAGTAATTTAAGGAGCCTGTGGGACACAATGAAATGCAAGTTATCGAAGGGAACCGGTCAGAAATGAAGAACACATCTGAGACGAAGAGTATAATAGATGGAATCAACAGAGTGAATAAAAAAGAGGACTGAACCACTGAAGATGAGGAAGCCAAGGACACTCAATCAGAACGGCAAGAAAAAAGAAGTTAAGGCTATAATAATAATTTAAGGAGCCTGTGGGACACAATGAAATGTAAAGATATCTGTGACACAGGGGTCCCTCAAGGAAAACAGGATGTTGAAGAGCTATTTGAAGAAATAATGATGGGAAACTTTCCTAACCTGATGAAGAAAATAGACGTACAACCCCAGGAAGCTCAGAGAGTCCCAAGAAAGAGGAACCCAAAGAGGCCCACAGCAAGACACATCATAATTAAAATGTCAAAGGTTAAATACGAAGAGAATCTTAAAAGCAGCAAGAGAAAAGCAGTTAGTGACCTACAAGGGAGCATCCATAAGACTGTCAGCTGATTTCTCAAAAGAAACTCTGCAGGACAGAAGGGCTTGCCACAAAATATTCGATGTGATGAAACCCAGGATCTGCAAGCAAGAATACTCTATCCGGCAAAGCTACCATTTAAAGTCGAAAGATAGAGTAAGAGCTTCTCGGACAAAAATAAGCTAAAGGAATTTATCACCGAGCCAGTATTACAGGAAATGTTGGAGGAACTTCTTTAAGAAGAAAACACATGTATCAAAAACAGGAATAAAGGAATGTAGTAATAACTACATTTCTATCAGCAAATACCTCAAATGGAAAAGAATTAAGTGCTCCAACCAAAAGACAGAGTGGCTGAATGGATAAGCAAACAAGACCCGTATATATGCTGCCTACGAGAGACTCACCTCAGATTAGAAGACACACAAACTGAAAGGAAGGGGATAAAAAAAGATATTGCCCTGATGGACCTAGAGGGTATTGTGCTGAATGAGATGGGTCAGATAGAGAAAGACAAATGTCTCATGATTTCATACATGTGGAATCTAAAGAATAAAATAAAAAGAATAAAATAAGCAACAAGAACAACGAAGCAGAAATAAACTCATAGATACAGAGAATATTTTGAGGGCTACTAGATGGGAGGCGGGGTCAAAGGGGACAGCAAAGGAAAAAGGCAAAGGGATTAAGAGGTACAAATGCAGAGCTGCAGAATAGACATGGAGATGTAGAGTGAGCATGGGGAAGACGGTTAATAATGTAATAAATATGTAAAGAGGAAGAAGGGGACTCGATTAAGTGGGATGATCGCTTTGCGAACTACGGGGATCTCTGATCACTATGCTGTACAGCTGAAACTGGTATATTATCGTATGGCGACTAAATAGAAAAAAAAGCTCATTGAGTTGTACAGTGTAAATACGAGCAACTAATTGTCTATTATCTTTCGATAAAGCCAAGAAAAAAAAACTCTAGCTGGAAAATAAATAAATAAACAAACAAACAAACAAATAAAAACTGTAGTCAGAGGACACATATTCAAGAAGAAAATTTA